TACATTGAAAATTTTCTTTTTTGGTCTACAAGAATATTTGAAAGACAAGAGAGTGAAGTGATTATGCTGTAGAAGGATTGGGGGGGGGTAGTATGATGAGGTAGAAGTCAAGAAATAATGCATCCAAAAGAGAAGGAAAATAAACAAAAAAAAAAAATCTGCAAAGTATTTCAGCAGAATGGAATGGAGAAATTGTGTAAATCTAGTTTTTATTCCACATCATACCATATATGAATTTTTTAAATTTCTAGAGCCAAGTATAAAGTTTTTTTATAATTACTTTATAGGTTCCTCCACTTTTTTGCTGAAAAAACAGCATAGCATGATGAAAAAAAAAAAAGGTCCTTAACTTAATACAAAACAAAGCTTCATTGTCTGTTTGTATTAAGAGGAAAGACCAAAGTATTTTTTTAATCCTTTCTAGCACGTTTGAAATTTTGGTTAAAAATCTTGCTTTTTATGCAAGCTGTTGACAAGAATTATTAGTGATTTTGCACTTTTTGAAAAACACACTAATTTGGAAATTCTTGCAAAAATCAAATGTCAGATTTTAATTAAACTTTCAGGACTTATTCACAAATGAATTAAATTTTTTTTTTTTTTTTTTTTTTTACATGTTACCCTCAACAAACTTAATTTCATGAAATTTTGAGAAATTAAATTTTCTCAATATTTTTATTAGTTAAAAAGGACTTCTTGGAGAATGTAAATCATCCAACTTTTTTTTTTCAAACAGGATACCCAGTCACTGAAAATCTGAAAAAATGCAATAAAACTATGACATTTAATTAGAAAAGCTTTTAATTGCTTTTATAAATAAGATCTATTAAGGACATTATTGTCTTAAGAAAAAGTTTTTGGTAATGAATAACAAAATTTTACAAGAATTGTTTTCATTTTTTTTTAAAATTTCAATTATAATAGTTTGTGATAATTAAAAAAATCATTTAGAATTCTGCATTACTTACTTTCTTTTAGATGATGTTGTAATTAAGTGGAAACTATATTTAGAAATCAAAAATTGAAAAGCTTAAAAGTTGTCTACCCCCAATATTTTTAAAATTATTTTTTAATTTTTTAGTTTAAACATTTCCATTTTTGTATGTATAGTAGTCTATACATGACATTATTATTATTATTATTGAAAGGTTACGTGTTGTAAGAGTTGTCCTTGCTTTACTGAGAAATTAGCTTGACTGCATTTTATGTTTATATCTCAACAGGCTTTGCACATCATCCCTTCAAACTTTTAAATAAATTTTACTTTTTTAATTTTTATTTTATGTATTTATTTTAGTACAGGTCATACTTCAATTGAGTAATTATTTTAAAAACATTTTTTGTTAGTATTTTATTTTATTTTTTACTTTTTTCAGTTTATTCTTTTTTTATAATATTTTAAATTTTATTTTTTTCAGAAACATCTTCCAACATAAGGCTATAACACTATAGTAAGTCAATATTAGATAACTGCTGAAAATATATTAATTTGTAAAAATTTCTAGATAATTAAAAAAAAAAAAAAAAAAATGTGTTCACTTAGATTTTGTAAATTTATGTCAATTCTGGTCAACCATATTTAGCTATCGACACCTTTGCCTGTCAAGAACATCAATTAACACATCAGAAACAAAAGGACTGTGGTTAAGAAATGCTTGTATACTACATTTTTTATGCTATAAGTAAGTAATATTTGTTTCAAATTGGATTAATTTCACTTTAAATTTGCTAATTTTCTTCAAATAACATGTCACAAAATAAATATTTTATTTTTGGATTTTTAAAACCAAGAATTAACTTTTGTTTACAAATGTGTCAAAAGTTGATATTCCAATCAATATAATTTCTATTTGAAATACAGAGTATTTTGCTTACTGGAAATAGTAAATTTAATCATTTAGCTTTCAATTAAATCTAAAAAGAAAGCTTCAGGAATGCTTTTTCATTTTAAAAAAATTCATTTTAAACCTTATGTATCAAAAATTTATAGAAGGTACCTACTCTACTTCATCTGGTAATATTATGAGTAATATTTACAATGTGATATTTAAATGACAATGTTAGAAGAAATTAAAATGTACAAGTCTGAATGGGTGATATTTATTGGAATTAGAGAAGGAAAATTTAAAAAAAAAAAAAAAATTATACGAACAATGGAGATAATAAAAAAATCCTACCTCCAACCCCATTTTTTTTTTTTTTTTTTTTTTTTTAAATAAAACAAAACAAAAAGTGAAAAACATTGTTGGATAATATAAATCTATAATAATCATGAATTTGGAAACCTTATCAAAGAGCTTTCTAACTTGGGTTCTGCAATTACATGATATGATATCAAATAATGACAGTAAGGAAAGGTTATTTAGTACTACAAAAAAACTGTGTTGTTATAAATTCTTCTAGATTTCACAGATTCTCATTCAAAGATTGAAGCAGTTTATTAGAAAATAACAAATCTTTTGAACAAAATAAATTTAAAAGAGGCAACAGCATAATAAATAATTGTAGACTCCCAAACAAAAAATCAGAACAAGAATTTTGAGAAAAAAAAAAAAAAAAAGGCAATGAATGATCAGTGGAATAAACAAATGAGAATTAAAAAGATTTTATTTAATCAGCAGACAACCCCCCTAAAAAACCCAAAAAAAAAAAAAAAAAAAAAAATATATATAAATATATATATATATATATATATATATATATATATACACACACACACACACACAGACAGGGTGCAGCAGAAAAACCTCCCATTGCCACAAATGTCTTACCATTGCATGTGAGGCATTTCTGCTGGACTGTGTGTATGTGTGTGAAAACAAAACAAAATTGGCGAGGGTCTGTTTACCAGACAACAAATCAGGTAGGCAGTGACAAACAGAAAAATAAGCGGCAAAAATACACACAGGCTCTACTTTTGTTAATTGATATAAAAGTAATTTTGCTAAAGCAATGTGTTTTAAATTTATAAATATGATTTTAAAAATATAACATTAACATGTCCCTGAATATAAATATAAAAAAATATTTTCAAGAATTTATTATGCACATATTTGAGTTTTGTGGACCAACTGATTATTTAAATTTTGGGAAATAGATAATTTTACTACATGGGAAAACATGTGACTCATGCATTATTGCTGTTGAGTGTGTTAATAAATAGAAGAAGGTATGTGGGAAAGATTAAAAGATGGTTGCAGGAGAGGAAAGGAAAAGAGAAGAGAAAGGAAAAGAGAAAATTTGTTTACCTGAATAAATACCATTAAAAAAAAAAAAAAGTCAAATTTTTTTTTATTCATTTATAAGTTAAGATTTTTTGCAAGCAGATAATTAGCACTTGACATTATGTTTTACTGTGTTTTGAGGATGTTATCTTGGCAGTTGTAGGCAGTAAGAGTTGTGTTTTTATGGAGCCAATTGGGTGACTGATGTAAGAGAAGGGAATAAAGATCATGTATTATTTGAGATTAAAAAGTAAAATTTAAAGTAAAATTAAAAATTGTTTAAGCAAGAAATATTAAGGATCGTTCATTAAAATAAGTTATCAGGAAATTTGAATTTATCACAAAAAGAATTGTTCATCTACAAAATATATTGTATAAATTCTTAGGAATTATATTTAAAAAATTGCATAATACTGGTTTGAATATTTTCCATAAAAAAGGCATAATTCTGGATAAGTTTTTACATCAAGACTCAATAATAATAATAATAATGTGAGGTGTTGTTGATAGCTCCTGAAATTTTATAAAACTACTGTTGGATTGGTGAAAAAGGTTGTCTCCCCTTACATAGAAGTAGAAAAACCATGTGACAGCTAATGATTTACACAACAACCGGCATAGAGGAAAGACACTTACATAGGGACCTGGAACCTGCTCCTGGACCAAAGGACCAGCTCCAGATAAAAGGAATCATAGACCTGTTCTGATGAAACATACCTATTATCTGTGTCAACAATAGATCCTTCTGAAAAGTCATGTTACACATTCTATATGGAGGAAGACAATGTCTGCATTAACTTTTCTAATAATAATAATAATAATAATAATAATATTGTTGTCGTTATAACTTGCATATAAGCCTTTTCCTTAACCTATACACTACAACACTAGTTTCATAATTTTGTTGGAGATATTTAAGTCTATATTTTTTTTTTTTTTTAATCACCAATGGGAAAGACACAAAATATTTTGAGAAGTTTTCACAGATATCCATTGGTGATTAAGACAAAAATAGGATAGCCTTAAAAAAATTAAAACAAGTCAAAGTAACTTTAAAAGGCTATTGGAAGTTTACAAATTAATTTTTCATTCAAACCATTTCAGAATTTAAATAATAACAATATAGTCTTCCTAAGCAAAACACACAATGTAAATAATGCATTATTTTTAACTGATAATTACCTTTCAAAAAATGTTTATTGTACCTGTAAATAAACTGTCACTTATTTGATGCATAATGCATAAGTAAATAGCCAAACAATTGGTAAGGAAAATAATCCAAATAAAATGTCTGATTTATTGTTCTAGTTCATTTGGACCAATTTCCTTGTCTTTGTTTGTTTTAAAAACAACATTTTGGTCATATATGTTCTAACCTATCCCAATGGAATATAGGGTTGCCACTTGGTTGACCTTTATAATTGTAAGCAAAAACCTTATCACTATAAGAAAATGGTACATCCAGGCACCGAAGATACAATCAGCAAAACACGATAAAAACAACAAAGATTAAGCAATCAGTCCAAAAATATCAATGTATAAGAGAAATAACGCAAATCTTAAAGAAAAAAGGCAAAAATAGTTTTCAGAAAAATAATGTTCTCATTGTTGTACAATCTTTTTTTTTTTTTTCCTTTGATTTGGTTTTAAGAACAATTACATTAATTGAAGAATAGAATTTCATAATAAAAATGCATCCACGGAGCATTTGTAGCATTTGGCTTGAAAGTTCTTTCCAATGTTTCAAATCTTGTTTCAAAGTTTTCTATTCATGAATCACAAGTGAAAACGGAAAGATCTAAAAAAATAAAAATAAATTTTATTAAGCAACCAATTCTATACACATCAATGAAGAAACTAAAGTTTCTGATGTTAACAATGGAAACTAAAACAGAAAAATATTTTTACCAGTATTTCACCTTAATTCTTGTCACAAATCTTCGGTTGTCATTAGTAATTAATGAGTCTGAGAGTTGTGATAAAAAGAAAGAAAAGTAAATGACTAATAGGTGCCATTGTTTCATTGAAGATGTTTTAAATCCAATTACAACTAATATTACTAGTGTATGCAAACAAGGAAGATATCGGTTAAAATAAACTTCCAGAAATGAGAGATGTGAGGTTTTTAGTCTCAATGAAAGTTCATTATTTTTAGTTCACACTGTTTACTAACAATTGCAGAATAACAATCAGAGTTGTGATAAAAAGAAGATAGAATAAATACAAATAAAAAATGAATAATTATTGACAGTGTTTCATATAAGACATTTCATATCATACAACTAATTCAAATACAGATTAGATATCTGTGTCTTTTTTATAATACAAAATAAAATCTGTGTATAAAGATTAAAACTTTATCATCTACAAAAGAAATAGATGAAATGACAGTTCTTTACTGATGGTTTTCAAATCCCACCCAATGGCTTTCAATCACAGCCATTATTTTAATGGTGGTATATGTTTATTTTTAAAATTAATAAAGGGTTGTAAAACAAAATATTTTTCAGTGTATTTAAAAGAGTTGAGAAAATTATTTGCAAACAGTGAAGATTACTTGCCATACAAGATGTCAAAGAAAAAAGCAGTTTTAATAAGAACAAAATAACTACCTGGTAAAATCAGGAGCCTTTGAAAGAACATGCTCAAATTCTTGGAATGACAAGTGATCATCATCATCAAGATCAGCTTCCTCAAAAATCTTTCAAAATGGTGGTTAAAAATGAACAAAAAGTAAATAAAATAATAGACTTTCTCAAAAAAATAAAAAGTAAAAAAAAAAAAAAAAAAAAAATACAATAAACTGTGAAAAACAAACAAAGATGAAATTCTAAGGAAAAAACAACAAAATGGAATGATAAAATACAATTTAAATTGTATAAAACCATATTTAATAAGTTGAAACTGCAACAATCAAAAATTGGCTCGACAACTCAGTGGTCCAGGCAAAGGAATATAGTCCGAGACTCAATGAGGTTCTATTTTGACAGTGTTCAGAACACTTGTTTCTACATATTTTAAATCAAAAATAAAAAGATTATATTTAGTCCACAGAATTTCTCAATTGAAATCCCCACCCCTTTAACACTGCCTATACCCAGTGTTTTTTCTTCTCTCTCAAAAATTATGTTTGTCAGCATGTAGCAGATTTTAAAAGTTAAACAGATTTTTTTTTTTTTTTTAATTAGCTTTTATATAATATAATCAAGAAAATTATATTATTATTATGAAAATGTTAAAAACAAATAGAAAAAAGCCTTCTCTAAACACATATTTGTTGCCAGCCAAATGCAGATTCTTTCTGCTGTAAATCAGTTCACTTACTCTAAATATTAAGTATAAAATTTAACTACTGCAAAAAACATTGTTAACAGTATTCAATTTAGAAGTCTGGTCATCAATAAACTGATAAATATGAACTTATAAAAATATTTAAGATCCAACAACAGTACTTTCAAGAAAATGAAACTGTTGAATCAAGTAAAATTCAAACTTTCATTAAACATATTGACAATAGATTATTATTTGTATAGAAGTAGAAAAGAAAAAAAAAATGATCTCAAGCAGATTTCTGTTGAATCACACAACTGAAATAGAGACATGATGATGAATAGTCAAAGAAATTTCAAACAAAACTACAATATTTGAGATTCATTTTCATAGAATTCACTCTCCAGTTCTGAATTGATCTTTGACCAGATTATTAAAATATTAATTATTCATATTTATAGACTTATTAACTTCAATACAAAAAATAATTTGTGTTACTTTCAATAGTTTTGTTGCATAATGCTCCCTAAAGTTTAGTGATTAAAAATCATAATAAATATTGAATATATTTACAAAATAATTGAATAAATACAACTTCTTGAAACCATAAAATTAAATATCTCCCCTTTTATTTACTGATGTTTAATTCCTTTTTTGCAGAATTAACAGGATTTATTGAAAAAATATTTTCAAGGAAGCAATCAAAAATCACAACCTTATCTTTTTGCAATTTCATTTTCTGAACAGACAGTATTCTGGGACAGCTTCTAATGGAGCAAAACAAATTACCATAAAAGAATGCTATAATCAATATCAAGTGAAATTTATTTAAAAATCAGTTGAGATGGAAAATTTATAAAAGTCTGCAGAAAAATTTCTTACATGATTTTTGTATATTTTTTTTACAAGAAATATAATTTTACTCCAAAAGCAGGTGAAGTCAACAGAGCCGAAAAAAATAAATTTAAAAAAAAAATGTTATTTATTAAAAGAGATTACAAGACAAAAGAAATAACATGTCCCCAATCATCACAACTATTGCATTGTACAAGCATGTAGCTAGAATTCGTTATTAACAATTTCTTGTACTTCCTCTGTAAACAATACATTATCAAGACATCTTTGAAATAAAAACATTTAGGTACCTGACAAATAAAAAAAAAATGGCTCTAACAGTTCAATGGGGAAAATAATTGACTTGTAATTTTTGATCCCTCAAAAAAGCGAAGCAAGTATCATTTCATCATCAATGATCATATTCTGAGTTTTTTTTTTCATTTGCAACAAATAGTTCCACCTCTCAATGAAGCTCAAGTTCACTCCAGACCTCAAGTGTACCTCATATTCAATCTGTCACCAAACTTGATATCTCAATATAGGGCCATGTATTTAATCGGATAGAAAAGTTGCACCTCAAAAGTGATCTGTAAAATTATCTGGAGGAAGATTGGCTTAGTGTAGCACAAGAGCAAATGGAGATAATAGTGCAAGAAGATTGTGTTGCTCCAATCTTCTAAGAGTAGACAACTTGCTTCTCTTGAACTAATTAGCACCTGAAATCTCATATTTACCAAGATACAGTTAAAATCTCAAGTCAACAAGTGGCACATAAATCAAAATGTCACCATGCCCATTCAAGGGAGGAGAGAAAAGAGATTACAAGGCAAAATTGACAGTAATTGTTTCAATAGATTTTTGCAATACTCACGTTATCAATCAACTGCTGCATCTCTTCATCACTCAACTTGTCACTGCTGCTTTCAACAGTTGTGATGCGTTGAATAATTTCAACAAGGTCTTTGCTAGAAATCAAGTTGTCTTCATCAAAATCTGAAAATAGTCAATTGAAAGTAAATCAACAAAAAATACAATTCCCAGTTAATTTCCAAAAAAGTTCTTCAATGTTTAAATAAAACAAAAATTTTCCAAAAAATGAATAAAATATGCATTAAAATAAAGAGCAAAAGCTACAAAATATATATTAAGTCGACAATAACAAATATTAAAAAAAAAAAAAAAACAACAAAAAAAACAACAGTTAAATATAAAAACAGAAAATGGATTGTGTTGCTTTTAAAATAAAACTTACTAAACTATTATTTGAATATTATTTGAATAGTTTCTTTTACTCATATGGAGACAATTATTAGGCTGGAAAGAAAGTCCTGTTGTATGTTTCATATAATCACTTTCAGGATACTTTTTCAATGCAGTAATATAACCATTAATTTTTACATTTTAATGTTTTTCCTTTTTTTCTTTGCAGAGGGGGGGTAGATTAGACAGTGTCTGCTGTATGAATTCAAAAAGTCTCTTCAGAAATGGAAGAAGCAAGAAATATTTGTTCTGACTATAGAAATAAGGTGTCCAGGTATGCTAATAAAGGTTTGACCAATTTTGATTGGGAATTTTTTTCTTTTGAAGATTCCCCTCAATCTGGACAACCAAATTTTGTCCATATTGAGATTCTGTAAACCATAGTTGAAGAAAATCCTAAGTAAATTGCATGAGAATTCACAAAACCATTCAATCAAGAAACATCTTCATGAGCTCAGAAAAGTGTCAATAGTTCCTTCATTTGCTTCTCAGTTAAATCAAAGAGTCACCTATCTGCTCATCATTGAAAAGCAGACCTTATATAAAACCTCTGTTTGGAAAAATCATCACCACTGATAAAAAGTGGCTTCTCTATAATCGTATCCAACAATAAAACTACAATGGCTACCAACCACTGAAAAAGGAAAATCCGTTCCCAAACCAGGACAACACTAGAAAAAAAAGTTATGCTTTTATGTTTGGTAAGATATGAAGGGCGTTGTATTGAAGTGCTAAAACAAAATGAAATGGTTAATGCAAAATAGTACTGTCATCGATTGGAAGCATTACACAAAAATTTATACAAAATGTGTGCATCATTGGTTAATCATAAGGTGTGTTGTTCTTACAATAATGCTAGACCACATTGTGACACTAAATATGGAAGTTTTGCCTCATCCTCCTTATTCTGGTATTGCTTCATCTGACTATCATCTTTTCAGTTCAATGCAGCATCTTTTTAGAGGGAAACAGTTTATTAATTGTAAAGAGGTTAAAACTGATAGTGTTTCTTTGCATTGAAACCTGAAGAATTTTATGCCCAAGATATCAACATTTTACAAATAAATGGAATTATGAAATGACGGGAAATATTACCTTGATGAGGTAGATCCATTAAGAACAAAAAAGCATTTATCTCTTTTTCCATCTACAAATGCGACAGGACTTTCTTTCCAACCTAATACTAAAGCAGGGTTAATTTAATGTAGGGTTTATGTGCATGCATGATTGTGACAAAAATTACCCACTCCCTATGCATGGGTTAGGCTGCATCAGTGTTGGAATTCCCAGGAATTAGGGACATCTTCCTGAATTTTGTACTCTGTCCTGGCTGAAAGCAAAGAACAAAGCCAAAATCTCAGCTGTGCTTCACTTTTTTTTTTTTAGTCACTCAAATTTTAGGAGCTTTTTCATTTTTTAAATGTTTATTCAATTTGCTTTTGTTATCATGCTCTACAAAATCATGGTTCGGGTCAATAACATTCCAAAGGAAAACACTGAAAAACCAGAATAGTGAAAGAACTGTTTAATCATTTGGATTAATAATACAATACTAGCAAATATAGTGTGACACTCTTTGCGACTCCTTTGTGTCCTGCCTGTGGCTCCTTTCATAGGGAATGGAAGAGTCCATATTCAACACTTTAGTGAATGTCGGTCGTCTTTCTACACAACAGTTTTTTTTACAACAGGTTTTTGAGGGTGGCATGTTGAACTGTGCTGTTAAAAGTTGTATAGCTTATAGTTCATGTTACTTGACGCGAGTGCCCTTCTCTTCTCTAAGTATAATGCAGTAGGTGTCACCCAGTAGTAACAGAAGAATCTGACCCAAATACAAGCAATCATCACCGTATGCCAGTGATAACATTATAAGAGAGATGATGGGTGATGAGATCAACACTAGAAGGTGCACTTATTCTATGCAGTCTATTTCGGGGATAAATAAAATTCAAATCAATCTGAAAATAAAAATAAGCGTAGGTTCATCACTGATTTTCCATCACCTTTCATTTCAAAAGAGTCAAGATGAAATAACAAACATTTTTGGTTCACTAATTATGCAGGTTTCATATCTTGAAAACAATCATTTTCAACTGTTACCCTTCCTCCTTGTCATAATCTTCATTCATAATCTTCCATTCATATCACAATTTTGACTGTAACCCTCTACCCTGAGAGGCTCTCTAGTCTTATACTGGATGAAATTAAGTATAGAAAAAAAATACTTGATCACTAGCAGCTTTCATATTTTAATATTTTCTCTCTTTAAAAAAAACAAAAAAAAAAACATCATGATATGGCGGAGGTGGTGAGAATTCGCTCGTATTGAGATTGACATCCTCTCTCTCCTGGTGGCAGTGGTGGAGATGGCTGTGAATTTGATGAGACCATTCAGGTGAATTTGATTTTGGTGGATAACTCTGCACGACTGAGAAGTCCACACACTTGGTCAGAAGCACCTTCCCTTGGGGCTCAAAAGGGATTGAGAAAGGTGACATCTGGCAAACCTGGTTGCATTGGGCTGTCAGATGCTTCATCTGTCAAGGTTGGCCTTGGTTATGCCAACTCGACTGGTGCTGCCCTCTTCCACCAATTTGGCTATTGAGATCACATAAATCGTTGCTTATTTCACTGTTGAAGTCTTTGGGGGTCAATCGTGTTCAGTCTGCTCCTTCCTCATCATGGGTGGCCCTAACGTTCTCCATCAGTGTAAGAATGCCAGATACATTTCCGATGCTACATGCAGACATCCCATGTTTAGCCAAGTATAAAAAGTTGAATGCACACAACAGCATCACTTACCATAGATCTTGAAAGACATACTCTGCTTTAAGACTTCTTGGAGCATTATCGCTAAACACTGACATCATATCCAAAAAGTCTTCAAAGGACATTGAGCCATCATTGCTTGAAGAAAAAATTTTACAAATTCGATCTTTGAAGGGATTCACCTATTAAAAAAAAAAAAAAAAAAGAAAAAGAAAAGTAAAAACAAAAGTTCATATGCTTATTGTATTTTTAATCAGAAAGCAAATTAGTTTTATATTAGAGTATTGCACATTTTAAATTTAAAAAGGAAGGTTTCCATTCTGTAATTTTAGAAACACACATGATGGGATCAATCATTAGTTCTCACAAAGGACATATTACTTGTTGGTTTTGTACTTAGAGATAAATGTAATGTCATTCCTTATTGTAGTGAGTTATCCATACAATTTTATAATATCAGATGTTAACCTAATACATAAAGAGCCTTAAAAGTAGATCCATCTTTGGATTGTACTGGGGTTGTATTCTCAAATCCTGTTTAGTCAACTTTGACACAAGGAGTTATTGGGTGTGACAGAAACATTACTAAGAAGCAAGAACGTGTAGTGAGTGCAAAATAATAATAACTCCCTTTACCCACTCCCTTCAAATTAGAGTGAAGCTGAGTAAAAACATGGAAATTAATTCACAAGCCTATGTGAAATTTTCTTTGGACCAATGAAAACCTTGCCTTCACAGAAATTAGCTGTTGAGCCAAGAAGAAAAGAAAGTAATGAGCCTATGCGAAATTCCTTTTGATATAAAATGAGAAAAATTAAATTATTCAGAGAAGAGTGTTTGAAGTCATGTGAAAGATTTTGTTCCAGTTCCTTGCAACCAGTGTTGAAGTTCTTGCCAGTGTGAAATTATTCGCCAATTATATTATCAACCTTTAACAACACTTCAATGAATTTTCTCTCAATAATCCAATAAAACTAAGAAATTCAAACTTTCTCTCTTTGTCTACTTTTAAATGTATGCAAGTCACTTACCTTCGTTTTAAACATTCTTTTAATATTGTATCAGATCATTTAATTTGTTGTATGAACATTTCCACTTCATGACAATTTGTTAAAACTAAACTTTAAAAGTTTGATTTATTTTTCTGAACCGAGCTACTGACACAACATCAAGCATGTAATTTCATAAATAAATTTCTTATCTTGTTAAAATTACCAGTGTGTTTTCTTGTCATTATCATACTTCACTAATCTGGCATGGATAAATCAACTGTTCATTTTAATCCCTATACCCCATGCTACTATAAACAATAGAAGAGTAATCAGAGAGACAGTAGATAACGATTGGCATTGCATTTAAATTTTCGAAGATCAAAGTTAACTAGAAATTATGGAGCCAGAAGAGAGTTCCACAAGCACAAAGTGTGAGAAAAGAAACTGTTAGCATAGAACTTACAGTTACATCTAGCCAATCCAAGTGTAAACTGATGAGATCTTACCACCAGTCTAGTATTGTGCTTAAATTCATAAAGTCTAGGTACCTTAATGAAGAGTACATCCTATTGTGGAGACAGAAGTGGGTAACCTGGAAGACAGCTGAAGTGAAAGGTAGGACGAGGCTGACTGTTCTTGTCAATCAAAAAGACAATCCTTGGTGTGCTGTGTATGCAAGAGAAGATGATTGGTGTAAACCAGAGAATGTACGCTTGCAAAAAAATATGATCACGGTGGTGGACTGAGAGCATTTGTTTATGCAAATGATTTGTATTGTGCATCACGAGATTACCAATATTTCTGGGCTCAATATAAACAGAGAAATGTTCTGTTTCATCAGTTGTGATTCTGATTTCCTGTTTGTCCTCGCTTTCAGTGTCCTGGCTACATTCGATCTTCACTTGTGCCATTTCTGCGTGGAATTCTTTGTTGCCTCTACTGTGGACATGCCTATAGTTTGGTTGGTCTCTGGTGATATTGTTTGTCCCGTCCCTTTTTGTTTTTGTCCTGGCAGCAGAAAAGCAACTTTCACAGAACCTTTTTGTTGTTAGTGTTGTGGAGGTTAATTCTTTCTTGCAAACATATAGTTTGGCAACTTATCTATTGGTCTCTGGTGAAATTAGACAATATTTGTTTTGTTTCTCTCTTTGTTTTTTGTCCTGGTTTGTGTTGCATCTCAGCAGAAAAGTCTTTGTTGAACCTTAGAGAGAACATAACCCAGGAAAATACCCAAAAAAAAAAAAACGGGAACTTTTAACAATCCAATAAAACCAAGAGTGATTGAAGAAAATATTTTATTCATAGTAATTTTTAAAACATGCCATCTAAGAAACAATGACGGAATTTTCATTTTTTAAAAATTACGTCCTGTAGATGGCATCCTTCTGTATGAATGCATTCTTGAAATCTGCCGTTGAGATTCCTCATTGACTGCTGCAACATCTCAGCTGGGATACTGTGAATTTCATCTTGAATTCTAAATGTGAATTAATACTATTTACATAAAACAAAACAGAGTTAGTAATACCCCCCCCCACAATCCCTAAATGTGGCAGAAACATTAGTTAACAGGATGAAACAATTCTGGGATTATAACATTATAAAAAAAAACAAACACGCCCACAAACATGCACTCATTTAGACACAATAACAAATACGAAAACACACACACGAAACGAAAGTCATCCCGCAACCACCAGAGAACTGACATCACTGACCACCTAACGAGGGAGGGGATGGGGAATTAAACAAAAGAAAAATAGGGACAGAAATAAAAGGGGGCCAATGAGCATGCATACCCTAGCTAAGTTAACCAAAAATGGGAAACTAAAGATACAAACTAAAAAAACCTAAACTAGCCTAATATCGAGGCAGGTTGCCTCTGTTCAACCCTGATAGGACAAAATCCTGTACCTAACCGACATCCAAGTGCCACTCCAGGTCAGCCCCTTTCACTCTACACAGTCGCGCAAGATTTACCCACCTTTTGCCGAATTCTGATGAAGAGAATCGCCACCTTTCCGTCCTAATCTTGACTTTAAGCAGATGCCTAAAGTACAAGATCAGTTGGGAAGAGGTGAACTTCTCACCTCCATAGAATCTCTTCTGACGTGTTGACCAAATCACGACTCTCATAACTCCTAGCAAGCAGTGGAACACACAAAGTTCAGCCTTCGTCAACAGCTGTGCCACATTGCTACAAACAGAAGAGGCCTCAAGGACAAAGAACTTTCCGTGCAACATGCGAAACATGGGGCCTTCAAAAAAAAAAAAAACTTACACAACGGAGCTACCAACTTGCAATGAAAGAAGACATGACCTAGGGTCTTGACTTCCCTACTACAACGTCGGCAGTTTGGATATTTCTCCAAGCCCGCTGCGCAAAGCTTTTTGGCGACCCAGAGGGCCCCACGCATCACCAGCAAGGTGAGGGATGCCTCATCATTATTGAGACATTTCAACCTGGGAGCCCAAGGCCAGATCGAGTGAGCCTCCCGCTTCGTAAGACCGAGCTCATCAATCAGATCATCATGAACGGCCCCCCTAACTAACACTTGATATAATGCTCTACAAGACAATGCCTTGACGTCGGAGAGGCCATCCGACGCCCATAAGAGGCGTTTCAGAGCAAGATGACATTCACGGTAGAAGGAGCACTCGGCTCGGGGTAAACGGCGGGCCTCCTCCTCGCACGAGTGCACACTTCTCAAGGATGGGAAATTTCGACAGGTGTCTTCCTTCCAGAAGGCGGCCTCCTCATCCAGTTTGTGACACAAATGATCTAGGAACCCAATGCGAAGCATATAGAGATAGATCTCAATGCTAGGCATACCTAGACTGCCTTCAGATGGATGAAGGCAACAGATCTCCCAAGAGACTCTGGCAGCCTTGACTCCCCACAAGAAGGAGAACAAATGGAAAATTATAAACAAAACTAGAACTTGTAAAACTTAGGATGACCCATGCCCTTTATGCCTACATGAAAAACTACACATTAAGTTTCTAAATAATAAAAATCTATTAAACAATAGACATGAGTTAACATTTTTTTGACGACATCAAATTTTTGCATTGAATAATTAGCATAAAAACAAACAATAAAATAATTTTTAAAATCCATAGTCCTAATAAATAGTTTAAATGCCCTACCAAAAAAGATAACCCTTTATGAAGTCATCAAAAAACAAATGTTAATGATTTACGACAGTTTTTATATACACAAAACCCTTTCAGGAAAAAATAAAGAATAAAATAAAAAATAAATCTCCATAGACGCTTAACCAGACTAGGCGATGTCTTCTTCCGCTTTAAATTTAGACACCCCAACCATACCCTGACTTGACATCTGCGAATGTAACCGAGATATTGATACAAATTATTAACACCTTACACCCCTTTTTCTTTAAACAATTGCTCTAGTCGTTACCATAGAAATTTTGATTTTAATAATGAATACGCTTATAAAACACATAAATTTCAGAAATAAGTTATTCCAAAAAAATTTCGCTTGAAGATGGAACAGAGCTTAGTACTTTAATTCAATTTAAATTATTATATTGAAGTTTTCGGCTCTTGTTTTGAAACATGAGAACTCTTATGTAGTGTGTTGGAATCATATTTTTAAATAAATAATTATATTTATGCTCTACTTTTGTATCGAGCACTATTTTTAAAAAATAATAACAAAAATACTAAAGAACTTTGGATTATTTACCTAACAAGTTCTTTCCTTGTTGAATTATTGTGCATCGATGATTTGAGTTTTAATTTAAGTTTTACCGGACATTAAGCCGAGCCATGATACTAACAAGGTATTCACTGAAATGGTTAATTATCTTTGGTTGACTCTTACTTCTTTGTTAAGTATTAATTTGCAGTTATAATTAAATACTGTTTTAACAGTGAAGTCTTGAGTTATACATAATCATTAATGGTCACCGTATGTCAGAAAACATTGAGAATTAAACTTTATTCACAATTGATAAGAATGCCTAAAATTATTTAGGTCACACTTGAAGTTACTGTTCAGCTGAAAATACAAAACTGAATAGAAGTAGATAGGTTTGCTTATCGCCTGGTTCACACTTCTCCCTGGTCTTTTTAACAGGAGTAGCAGTTTAGCATCTATTCCCTCGTTATAAACATGTTTCTGGTTCCTTCTAAAATCTACTTCAACACTATTCTTTTAATGTCTCTGAATTATTTTTCGCTAAGTATTTTTTTCTCTCCTCCCCCAATAGGAGTAGATAGGATTTCTTATTGTTCAGTTCATAGCCCTCTTTAATTTTTTGACCAGGATTAGTTGTTTATCCCTTGTTTCCTATTTAGGATTGGGTTTCTGGTTCCTTCAACTCTATACTTCTGACATCTCCACCTGAAATTTGAAATTTTCTTCAGTAATTATTATTATTATTTTTTTAGAGTTTCATCCCTTGCTCAGGATTGGGTTTCCGGTTCCTTCTAAAGTCTACTTCTAACATCTCTGCCTGAACAATGAAATTTTATAAATAGCCAATTAAATCTTAAACTCTTCAATCTAGAATTAGCTATCTTTCCTGTTATCTTGCTCTTTCTTACACTAATACAACTCCACACAGTAACCCTCTACTTTGAGTGGCCGTGGTCCTTGTATTGGGTGAACAGTAGGAGAAAAAAAAAAAAAAAAAAAATTATTAAACTACTACTGAATACTTGGAGAGACATGGAAATGCCTATGGTTTATGGCAAGGCAAGGATATAAGCCAAAAATTCAAACAAAATATCTTGATTTATCAAGTGACCGCCTTTTTCTGTACATCATATTTATTATTAATCCTACATTTTTATCAACTTATTTACAATTCCCTTGAAGAAGGCATTGATTACTTCTGCTGTTGAACTTTGTTATACACAAAACTTATATATCATATCTGATTAACATTATATATAATATTCTGTCAATAACACTTAATTCTTCATCACTCACATCTTTTTCTTTTGGACTTTCAAGACAAAATACAAATTGTGTGCTAAAACAAATGATAAAATTTTTCTTCCCTCATTGCCAGGGATATTCTGTTTGGTTGTGCAAGAAATAACTAAATAATTAGAATAATTGTTTTGAGGTTTTTGCTGAATTAATCCTACTGAGATATCAAAGAAGTGATAAATAAAAAGTTTTTTGGTTTTTTTTTTGTAAATAATGAATAAAAATTTAACTTCTTTTAAAACAAGCAGCAAGTTTAACTGTATTCCAGTTTGGTATTTAATAGAGTAAGACTGTACACCCGACTCCTCACATTTAAATTTATTACAGATGTTATAAAATAAAATGACATATCTCGGCTGATTTACAGGCAAATACTCAAGAGCGAGAACCGGATGTGAACGGGACAAAGCCCCGTCACAAAATGACCATTAACTTTCTTTACAAATGTTTCCGACACATGTGTTCCGGTCGAAAAATAAAATAATAATTAAAGTGCTCTATTTTTCGTCCAATAAAAATGCTTCCCTCCTAATTATACTCGCTTCGTTTCTCGAGCCTGTTAAGCCATAAAAAACGATATAAAAGGGGTCACAGGGAAGTTCAGCAGCAGTCAACAGGTGGCCACAAGGGAGACCAGTCACGTTCAGCAGCTGTCAGCAGGAAAGCACCAACCACCGTCAACATGCGTGAACTACTATGAGAGATCGACCAGATCCGAAAACTGGCTTATGAACTTTACCACAAGGTAGCTGTCCCAAACCCTCACGTTCCTGTTGAAATAAACCACGTAAATCTATTTCTGCTGTTGTCGTATTTCTTTCTTGCAACCATACGCTTGTCTATAACACAGAGGTGAGTCCAGGTACAAATACTAAGAGTCTGAACCTAAAAGATATCTGAACATTGAACATTGGTGACAGGGTAAATTTTGAGTGGGGGTAAAAACTTTGGAGGTACCAAATTATAGTTATTCCAGTGTCATTTCTTAAGCAGATTCATTTTGCAATAGTTTATATAAAAAGAAATAAAAAACCGAGGAGAAAGAAAGAAAGAAAGAAACAAACAAACAAAAAACCGAGGAGAAAGAAAGAAAGAAACAAACAAACAAAAAACCGAGGAGAAAAGAAAGAAAGAAAGAAACAAACAAACAAAAAACCGAGGAGAAAGAAAGAAAGAAAGAAACAAACAAAAAAAAACCGAGGAGAAAGAAAGAAAGAAAAAACAAAAACAAAAAACCGAGGAGAAAGAAAGAAAGAAACAAACAAACAAACAAAAACTGAGGAGAAAGAAAGAAAGAAAGACAAACAAACAAACAAAAAACCGAGGAGAAAGAAAGAAAGAAACAAACAAACAAACAAAAAACCGAGGAGAAAGAAAGAAAGAAACAAACAAACAAACAAAAAACCGAGGAGAAAGAAAGAAAGAAACAAACAAACAAAAAACCGAGGAGAAAGAAAGAAAGAAACAAACAAACAAAAAACCGAGGAGAAAGAAAGAAAGAAACAAACAAAAAACCGAGGAGAAAGAAAGAAAGAAACAAACAAAAAACTGAGGAGAAAGAAACAAACAAACAAAAAACAGAGGAGAAAGAAACAAACAAACAAAAAACAGAGGAGAAAGAAACAAACAAACAAAAAACAGAGGAGAAAGAAAGAAAGGGGGGGGCGAGAAAATCTTTCTCTTTCCAGCAAAAAAGCAGAATATGCAAGATTTCTAAATTCTAATCATATTTTGAATGTAGGGTATTCATTTGCTTGCGAAAATCTTTGGTCAGACTTATATTGTAGATGATTTCACATCAGGGAAGAGAGCCTGTTAATTTGTAGACCTCAGATATGCCGGCCATGCTGTATTTACTGAAGACCAATTCTTCTGGCACCAATTTAAGCTAATGTTTGTTTTTTTGATAGTGCAAAAAAAAAAACAAAAAACACAACAAAACAAAATTGGAAAAAAAAAAAAGGACTCACAAGAAATTACCTTTAATTCAGGTAGCCTGCATATTTCCTCTTCATCAAGTCGTATGTTCTGGTCAACAGTTTTCTCTTTCGCCAAGGTTTTAAATCGCTCATAAACTCTGAAATTGAAAGAAAAAAAAAATTTGGTCCCCCTTTTTACGTATGTTTGTGTATGTAAAATATTGATTGTTGGCTTATGCTGTTTTATTAGTGTATTTATGCTTAAATTTAGGCGAGTCTGATTATTCGTATATCAGTACATTTGTGTGATTGCTTGTATATGCTTTTACCTGTATATACATGTGTCTGACATAATTTTCTTTTGCTTGGTGTTTTTATGTTTGTCTTTATTCTTCTTTTATTATTTATTTTTCTTTTCTTTTTAATTTTTCCTTCTGTTTCCTGTGTGAATATCCGTCCTTATATTTGTGTGCTCATATATTTGATTATACATACGTATAATCAAATATATGAGCAGTCCTTTCAGTAGTCCTTTTATTTAAAAATTCTCCTCCCTATATACCTCCTTATTTGAATTCTGACTTCCATGTGTAGTGATTGGAGATACCTTACATCAGTGTCAAACTTAACTGATAAATTGGCACTTTGTTAAGAACAATAAATATATTTTTTTCTCCTAGTTTCATTTCTGAATAATTTTGTAATAATATTAAACTTGATGCTCGGTTAAATTTAGAATTTGACATTTGTAATTTTAAATTTAAATTTAACTGTGAAATTAAAACATAATTAGTTCTATTGCTTTCTAATTTAATCTAATCTTAAGTTTAATGCACTAATAGATTGTACTTAGGGTACATTGTCACGTTATTTTGATATAACATATACTTGTATTCTGATTGGTCATCATAGGTTATCTAATAGTGTTTCCCCTACCGAGGGGGTTTGGTTGGCCACCTAAAACAATTGGTTTACGCAGCAGACATTAACAATGTATCATTAGGGCCTGTGAAACAATTCAATGTGTGGGAGTATTTGACAGGTCCTACCAGTCAATGATCCCACAGGTGCATACATATGTAGAAGCAAGCGGAGGGCATTTTGAACAAGCGATTTGGAGTTACACACTCACAAGTTATAAGACAATTCTGTAATGGTATTGATACTTTGACATGTAGTAATAGTTAGCAAGCTTATCAATATTAGATCAATTACATTTGAGTAGTGATTTTGATTCACACTGGGTATTCCATACTTTCAACTTGGTGCCACATTTAAGCTATGCTTAGTGAATCGTTCACATTGGTTTCATTTTTGGAGGTTGGAGTAATGGGTATTTTACTTTAAGTTTGTCTTGACCTGAAAAAAAAAAAAAAAATTCCAATCTGCCTCATTTCCAAAATAGTTTGATAACCCCTAATCATGCAGTAGAATGTCAAAGGCAAATATGATTATTTGGCATTATCCATCTCCTTTCCAAGTAATCTGAGAAGCATTGCATTCAGCATATCTTTCACCCATGTGCCTAATTATAATTAGAAAGCAGATGGCTATTGTAATCTGTGTGTTTAGACATACCAGAGACTATTCTTGTCTCTGTTATATTGAGTGATCATTTTTAAATAGTTTTTTTTGAAGAGGTTAAAAATCATGCATTGAAGAACATACCAGATGTTGTAAATTTATGAAGATTAATGTTCCTTCAACATAGCTTTTTAAAATATGACAAACTTAATTGAGATTTTTACAGAGAATTCGAAGTACACATTAAATACTCCAGTTTATTTGAAATTTGAAAAAATTAATCCTGTACCGTGAATTATTCAGAAAAGTCAAAATCAACTTATCAGAATTAGAAAGTACTCAGGGCGCATAACTCCATAACTACTATACCCCCCCAAAAAAAACACAAGAGTTACTCCCCTTACACTAGCAATTAACCAGCCATTTTCAATACTATCGTTTGTTTTAATTCTCTTTATCGGTCCCAAAACTTAGTCAATAGTTTTTTGACTCATAGTCCCCCACCATCCTCCCACTAAATGCCATTGAAATTTACTGAAAACTTTCGGAGACATTGTGCAAACACACAAACATGGGTAAATAACCGCTGTCCTGAAGTGTCAGATTATTGTAAATAAAACTAAAAGTGTAAGATTTGCAATTTTGGTATTTATCTGTAAGTCACTTATATTCATTATTTGTAAGGTTCCTTATCGGTGTCAATGTCCCCTCCAAAAATGTGTGTTTGAAGTAATGTCTACGCGGAGCTATTGTGTTGCAATTTGTAGAAGCAAAGTATTTACATAATTAGCCAAACTTATTACCTTGTTGAAATTAGGAGTCATATTTGTTGAAGAAATGGACAGTTAACAATCAGTTATTTTTGGTTATACACTCACAAGTGGTAAGATATTTCTGTAATATTTCTGCACTTCAACATGGCATAATGGTTAGTAAATTGCTCACATTGGAGATAGATATTGCTATTTTTATTCACATAAGGGACAAAAGTGTTCATACGAGGACTAGTTTGGAATTCAGGGAGAAGTTGCATTTTGGTGACTGCAATAAGAATGGTCTGCAAGAATGTTGCATTATGGTGAATAAAACATTAAATGAGTGTGTTAGTGATTGAGCAATGAAGACTAACCCATCTCTTTTTCCAAATTTTGGCCTTGTGCCATATTAGATTTAAAACATCATTTACTATATTTTGAATATTTGCTATAGCCAAAAATAAATGTCTAAATTGTGACCTTGGAAACCTCTACTAGAGAAAGTTAAACTTTAAAATAGTTCACAAAATTAAGAAAAAGTCCAGGCAGAGAGAATGAGTTTGATATTAAGAAACAGGAAACTTGATCGAAACAAAGAAACAAGTACTGAACCATTAGGTTGGTTGGTTGTTTAGCAGCATATCAACCTCTGCGGGTTATTTAATGCCAAAATCTAAATATTTGTACACAATAATAATGATTTAATCATACAAGTTTAATTAATTTACCCATAGCTTTGGGGGGAAGGGAGGGAGAACAGGTCAATTCATATTTTTCCCCAAGCATTATTGTAAGTAAGTGAATATAACAGACCATTATGTAATATCAGTCCTCTTATATGGCAATGAATACTGGACAATCTCCTCAAAGATGAAGAGACTTGAAGCAACAGAAATGTGGTTTTACAGAAGGATAATGAGAATACCATGGACCAAATATTTGAACAAAATTTTAGAGAAAATGGAAACAAAAAGGACACTCATACTTATCAAAAGGAGAGAGTTGAAATTTCTAGAGTCATAATGATGGAAGAGGGCTTGGTAAATTTGATACAGACAGGAAAGTTTGAAGACAAGACGAAAGCAGCACATGGCCTACCTGGTGAGCCGGAGTGAATGGATGGCTGAACAAGATTTAGAAGAGATTGAAAAAAAAAAAGAAAAGTTTATTAGGCACTAAAAAGAACAGGAAATTGTCAATGTTCTGAAGGAACATGGCATATAGAAGAAGAAGAAAACTTGGATGTAGAAAATACTTGGTGGGAAAAATATCATTATCATCTCTGGGCCAAGAAAGAAGATGACAAAATATAAAGTGAACAAAAGCAAAACTTAATATATGGTGATATAAACTAGAAAACTGGTCTATATTAACCCTTTTACCAGTAAAATGCTAGAGTATAAAAAAAAAAAAAAAAAATCACCAAAAAGATGCTAGTAGAATAAAGCTTTTCATTATGTGCCATGCAGGATACACGCTTAGGTGATCATGTATCTTTCAATACATGACTGACGAGGCAGATTTTTTCCCCCTGCAGTAGGTTGCCATTTCTTTCTGCAGTAGACCAGTTGCCATCCAAGGCTATAGAACCTGGTCTGTCCGGCTATTTACCCATAGCTGGGGAAGAAGAAGAGGATTCATACCTTTCCCAAGGGTATTAGCACATAAGTGAATGTAACGTATTCGAATGGAATTCAAACTCAGCTTTCCGATTCCTCAATCCGAGCCAATAGGAGCAAATTTGCACTAGCCATTTGCTGTTCTTCACTGTTGGTTTGCTCTGTTATACAGGCAGTAAAATTTTACCCACAATGCCAAGGAACAGTGTATTGGCAAGTGGCCAGTACTCAGGATTAAACAGCTTAATAGAAACTCATTAAGAAGCAAGTTTACATCCACTTATCAGGGAAGTATGAATTGTAAAATTGAATTTTACAATCAAGTAAATTCAGATTCATTTAATTTTTAACTATTGATGCTCTATATCCTGATATTAAGCACTTTAATTATAAAGACTGCTTGCCATAAAAACATTATCTTCCAGGAATATCCTGGTCGACCTGTTTATTTTGGCAATACACTACAATACAACACACATGCATACAAAGTAATGAAAATATCCTAACCAATCTTGTTTCTCAAAAATCAGTATTCTTATGTTTGGTCATTGAAATGACTGTGATGTGGCTTAAGCCAAGAACTTTATAACACCTGATATTTGATGAAGGAATAAAAACTTGTTCAAAAAGAACAAGTTAAATTTCTCTGTAACATAAATTAGCAATGCCCCCCCCAAAAAAAAGTGGAAGCAATTTTGTTCCTTATTTAAAAAATAAATAAATAAAAGCATCTGTCACAAAAGCTCCATCTTTGTAAAGTATTGGTGAGCAGTTGGTAGAATACAATAGGTATTGTCTACTACTACAAGCTCTTAGTATAAACCAAGACAATTCCAACAGAATTCAGAGTCTATGATTTCCAGTCAACTTTAATCTTCAAAAATTTAACTGCAATGTCAATCACTATCTACTGTCTCCCTGGTTACTCTTCTATTGTTCCTGCCCCTGAGTAATGTTTGTTTTCTAATTCTCCCATGCCCAGTAACCCCTTGTATATTAGTAGCTTTACTGACTTGTTTACGGTGAACTTGATTAAAAGAAAAAAAAGATCTTTATTGATCAAGTACAGAAAAGTATATATCATAGCAGTATGTGGCTTCACAGTATTAAAAGAAAAAAAAGTTCAATCATAAGTGGACTATTTAAAGATCCTTTCATGAACACAAGAATTAAATCAGATATATTTAAACATTCAAAGCATTAGAGATGAGCATCTAGAAAGGAAAATGCAAAGGAAAAAAAAAAGAAAACTTACTTTAAAATGTCTGACCGAGAGAAAAATGTCAATTCCTGAAAGCAAAGGAAAAAAAAACATAAAAAGCAATTTCTGTAAATTGATCAGCAACACATGAGTGTTGTGCACAAGGGACTTCATAATATTTGTGTTAGACTTTACCTTGACTCCCTACAGGGAATTTATTGAAACTAAAAATGTTGAGCTGAATTCTAAAGTTACAATAAATTTTGGGAGCCCAAAATAACTGATTTTTTATTTTACCTCTGATACTATAAAATCATTAAAGTGCAAGATGATCAAATGAATAGGACAGAAGCAGCTGGTGAACTGTCAATAAGTTTTAATTAATAGTCTTGAAGAAGACATGAAACCTAACTTTCCTTTACAGTCTAGTTATGGCTGCCTGGTCACTTATACAACACATCAAGAATAATATGGCAGCAATTCTTATCAAGTTTCATTTGAATCAAATTCCTTAAACATTTGCTTAGGAAGATTGTATTAAAAAAATGTAAGGTAAATATTTTTGAACATGATGTAGTTTTTAAAAAATTTGTAAATATGGAAATGAAATAAAAAAAATTCAAAACATGAACCGCAGTTTTATTGCTTCTTCATTAGAAGGTAAAGATTCATGCATACAATACTGAACAACACATGGCAAAGTCTTTCATCAAAAGGAGATAGTTATAATACACCTGAAAAGAGTTTAAATAAAAGCTTAGGAGAGAAATAAAAATCTAGTTTGACAAGCTTTCAGTAGAGTAAATTCAGTCTTCAAGAAAAGAAAGCAACAATTGTTCTTAAAAAGAAATGTCTGCAAGCAATCCATCTTTCCAAGATTTTGAAGAGAGAGTCATTATTATATTAGTAGTATTAGTAATAATACAATTGATTACCAATTCCATAGATATGGGTGCAGAAAATGGAATTGGTAAACAAAGTTCAAATTCTAGATTTGTCTGTTTTATACAAATACCGTTGGGAAATGCATGAATTCCACCATTCTCTCCCAGCTATGAGTTAAATACCAATAATAGAAATTAAAAAATTATCAAGGTTATCTATTTAAAGTAGAAAAAAAAAAATGAACACTACAGTCATCATAACAGCATCACTTATTTGTTACCCCAAATCTTCAGCCATGCATACAAACAATTAGGATTTAGTCTAATTTTGGACACACATGCACAAGGAGGTGCTAGAAATCAGTATTCTCATGTTTTGGCCATGAAACCTACTAAAACATACCTTATAAAATCAATGTTAAGAAAAGGAGTCTTATATAGCATCATAATTGCAGTGAATTCAGTCCTCACTCCAAGCCTCATATTTTTGCCTATGAAATAAAACAAGTTTAATAATTATTTTGTATTCTTCATCATGAAATAATAGCAAGCTAGTCTTGCAAACCATTATGAGTTTGATCCTTAATGGGTGCTCCCATTCTTTTGGCCTTGTGCTTGATAAAGATAAAATTAGTAAATATAAAAAAACTGTAGGGTTTGCAGTGTCCAGAACCAGGAAAAAAGTGAATAATTATAAAACTGTAACATATTCAACAATAGCAATTTACACATTCTTTGGGTTCTGTCACTGGATCTAACCAAAGCCTTTATCCACAGTGCCATGTGTCCTTGAGTGTGAGTTCAATACCCGGTTAAGGCAGCAGAGAACTTTCAGAGGGAAAATTAACAGGAGATAACTGATAACCGACATCCGTTAAACATGGCACGTGCAACTAGAACAGTCTACCCCAGTGAGTGAAATAAAGGGTTCAGTTCGACATTCCAACCACCTGAAGAAGGCCGGAGCGTACAACGTCCGAAACGTTGTAATAAATATGGCGACAAAGATAAGGACAATAGTCTGAATAATGTAAATAATGTACATAATACCTCATCTCAGAAATATAGACAGATATGGCAATTTACAATTATATCCTATTGAAATTTTATAATGAAAAGTCAGAATGACTCAAATTACAAATCTTTATGTAATAAATCCAGCAATGCAGACTGTCAAAAATAACATTTTTGGATTGTGTTTCCAAGGAACATATCAGTGACATATGTGGTTAAATGAGGTCAAGTCATGTAATCTAGCCATATAACTTCAGTACATGTCAGAATTATGTGGCTTTGGGTATGGGATGTATAATATAGGGTGGCCAGTAAGCAACTGTGGTCAGACAATGTGTTGAAGCTATTTACCTACCCTCCCTATGGTGGTAAGATGTGACACAAAGTTGGTTTAACAGAGGCTTGCTGTATATACAATCCAAAGACAAAAACTGAATAGCCCCTGCAACCACTGGGGTCAATATACACCAATCTTCCCACTTTAGTACAAATGAGGAAGATGCTGCCACAGGGTTGAAATCACTAGGACTAAAAGCTTCCTTCATAATTTGAAGAGAAAGAGAAAAGTGATACTACACTTTGATCTGCTATTTTTCCCTACCTATCCCATCGTGATAGATGACAAGATCAGTTTAGTATGGGAGTACCTATATGAATAGAGAGGAAGAAAGTACAGATATTACACTTTGATCCAAGCCCTAAGACTGGAAAAAGGAAAATTTACCACCTCTCCATGGGTTTAGGGTGTGATACAAGGTCAGTTTAATGTTGGGTGCCCATATATTGGGTTAACCCTAACCCAAGAACAAAAATTGCACTGAATGACCACAGTCATGCCAGTGTCGACACCTAGAAAACATCTCTAAATATATACAAATCTGGTAGAAAACAATGGGGAAAGCTGTTCATCACAGTGTGATCTTTTAACTTAGTCATAATCACTGACCCATTCATACTCACTTATCAGTCATACTATAGACATCATAAATGCAATTTCTCTATGAAGTCCTAACTTAGTCCAATATGTGCAATTGGAGGTTAAACTACCAGAGACGAGGCATCCCTCAAAAAACTTTTGAGAACAGATATAACACTTTGATCCAAACCCGAATAAAGGAACACCTAAACATTCATATTCAAGTAAATAGCCTTAGCACTATAGTACTTAAAGATGTACTGAGGAAGACATTATTACATTTAGAAACAACCAGATGAGTTTAAAGATTTGTCCCTTATTCAACCACAGTTGATCAGCAGAAGTTTGTTGAAACATCTCTAGTTCTAGTCTCACAGGATATTTTAAGAGAAAAATATTTCCTAAAAAAAGTAGGTGAATAATCTTTTTAAATTTTAAGCGAGGTCAACACTTCATACTCCCAGCTAGGTGAGGGTCCAATACAAACCATTTTGTTTGAGGAATTTTAACCCCCACCACCACGCTCTTATCACGTTTACACAGGGATTTTTAAATCTATTGGGTAAATGTTATATGAAAATAAAAATAAATTTGTGGTACTAATGGATACATTTTTGAGAGCTTATACATACACTTTTTTTCTCACTAAAGATAGCAAAAAATAAATAAATAAAAATAAAATAAAAAAAATATCAAACTACTGAGTTTTCTTAGTCATGCATGACAACAAACAAACCAAACTTTAGTTTCAAATTTAACTTGGGGAGCTTTTGGTAATTTACAAAAAAAGAGACATAAAAAATAAAAAAACGGTAAAAATTAAAAATAGACCAGATGAAAAAACAATTTGAAATGAGACAATGTCGCCGTTGCCGCGTCGGAATTAAAGTCAGAAAACAAGTTTCGATTGAGAGCAGTTCTGTTCTTGACCGAGTATGACATTTAGAAAATTTATCATAGAATTTATTATAGATTATAAAAAGTTAAAAACCAATTAAATATATTTTATAAATTACTTTTTACGTTCATAAAAGGTTTTTGGACGATTTTTTAAAAACTTTTTTTCATTTTTATTGACATTTCTTACGTAACGCGATAAAAAAAAAGAGAAATGGCTTTTGGTCTTCTTATATTTTTGTGTTTTGATAAAAAAAAAAAAAAAAGATAATTCCTTCAGTTAACAATTTCATGAAACAGATTTTGGCATACGGCTTTTTTCTTTTCTTTTATGTCCGTATTTGAGATGCGGAAGTAAAGTAAGTCACTTTCTTTCTTTACCGGTTCTTTTCTTTTAAGATCATGACACGGATTTTAATAATAATATTAAAAACCTTTTTCTCAGATACAAATTTCGACACAGAACAAAAATAAAAACTATATATATATATATATATATATATATATAAAATAATTTACTATATAAAGAAAAAATACTGAATATTTATTTTGGGAGAAAGTAATATAGGCTTTTTCTTTTTTTACTCGTCGAATTTGGCTGTAGTGTAACTACATTACAAAGTTACCGAAACTTCAAGTGAAAAAAAATTATATTTAATAAAAAAAAAATACTCACCTCATAGGCATCCATTTCATCTTTATCGAATACTGTTTGTTTGTTTCCCATTTTTAAAGAAAAAAAGCGTTAGTCTCAGGTTTGTTTCTCCTTTCTAATTTGACTTACAATGGCGGTCAGAATTGTCAATAAAGTTAAGAACTTATTGAAGTCAAAACGAGGCTCGTCTAGCATACATTTAAAAAGTTCTTGCGAATGGGTTGACCAACAAGTTTGTTGTTAGTTACGTTAAACACAAAACTTGAAAAATATTTTGATATAAACTTTATTAAATAAATAAATAAAGTGCGACCGTTATTTCACGATCTTCGTAGAAAGCTGTTTTTTTCTCAGCAAAGAACTGTTCTCGGTGCTTTTTGCAGTCTCAAAAATAGAAGTTTTTCATGATAAAAGTTGGAATAATGAACAGTTTTTGAACACTAAGGTACACTATTTGGTAAACTGCAGATAAGTATAAAAAAGAAAGAAAAAAAATTAGTTGTAACAATTTTTGAAGGGTTACCAAAGAAATGTGGTTTTTTGTATTGATAAAAAAAATGCCTTTCTTTCTGTTTATTTAATGTTTTTTTTTAAATTAGTAATTACTGCCTTCATTTGGTTTAATTGGGAATTGTACTTACTTATTCAAATCAATAATTTTGTCCTTCAGAAGGAGTTCATAGTTGAAGCAGATCTTCCAAGTCTATAAACAACATCATCATATTCTTGAATAGGGGGTCATTTTACTTTCCCTATGAACTCTTGCATTTGCTATTCTTGTATCCACTTCTTATTGCCTGTCACAATGTTTAAAAACAACATTTAAATGAATTTATTAGATGGAATTAGTTAAAACTAAATGCTACTAATGCTGTCTGATGGCAAAAAATAGAAATAACATTTTAACAAACGAATTTAATATTTGTACATATTTTTTTTAATCATTTCACCCTATGCAAGGCAGTAAAGACACAAAGGGTCTTAGTGGCAGAGTGTGAAAGAATAAGAAAAAAAGTGAAATATTATTAAGGAGTGAGAACAATAGAAGAGTAATCAGGAAGACAGTAGATAATGATTGACATTGCATTTAAATTTTTGAAGATCAAATTTGTCTTGAAAGCATGGAGCTGGAAGAGAGTACTACAAATGAGAAGTATGATAGCAAAAACTACAGTTACATCTAGCCTATTCAACTGTAAATTGATGACACCTTGTTTTCAATCTAGTACTATGATTAAATTCATAAAGTCTAGGTACCATAGTGATAGGAAAGTGACAGAAGCCAAATCACCAGGTCATGACCAATAATATTGCTGATTTTATCAAGAATTTCTAAATATATAGCAGGAGCACCAGCCATATGTGGCAGCAATATTCAAAGCAAGGATAAATAGTAGACTTACAGATATGTAAGATAGATTATGGAGAGAAAAATTGTCTAGCAAGACATGGTGATTCCCTCTCTAAGAATTAACGTTACTTTCTTAAACTTAATACAGAGATCTGATGACTTTTTCAAGATGCTTCTGCATTCATTTTTAAAATAATTGAGCTTAACTATATAAGCATCTTATTTTTATTTCTTCATTTTATTAGGGTTATCAAATATATCAAAAGTATTGTTTGTTTTTTTACTGGCTTTTACTCAAAAACTAAAGACTATCTCAGACTCAAATATATTATTGTCATTATTAGCAGTTATAGTAGATTGATTGATTTTTTATGGCTTATCAACCTCTTGCAGGTTATTTAAAGCCAGAAAATATATTTTTTTAATTGTAAGAATTTTTGGAGATAATAATGATTTATTGATACAAATCCTACTAATTAATCCAGTGTTTCTCAAGCTTTTTTTTTTACTTCAGAATAACTAAAACTCAAAAAAAATTAGTCATGAAATTTGAAAATAAGAAAATAAAGAAATTTCCTGAAATAAGCATTTAATTTTAAGATATCACATTAAGTATGCCTCTGAAAACTGTGCATGATGTGTCTTTGTCAGTTTTTGAATGATAGACCTTATATTGAACAAAATATATTATCCCTTGAAGAAACCAAAGAGGAAAGGTTTATCTCCTCCTTATTAAACATTAAGGAATTTAACATCCAGTTTAAAATATCAAATAACAAAGACTTGACTTAAACAAGGAAGTCATGTGCTTGGTGTCTCTAGCTTTTTTATAAATAAAAATTTTTAAATATAAAAATAATTCATAAATTGCTCTTCTTTTAACTTGAGGTGCAACTGGCTACCTTTCAGGGCACATCAGTGCATCTGGGAACACCAGTTGAGAAACTTTGAATTAACTCATAGCTGGGATGGGGAGCAGAGATGGATTCATGCCTTTAACCAAGATTATTTGTGCATAAGTGAATGTAGTGAAACTGATAGGAATTGGAACTCGGCTCCATGTTTTCCAGTTCCATTATCCTTAACTCCACATGCACATACAAGCTTACAGCACCCGATATTCCCAACTGATTGTACAAGAATCGGTGTTTCAACTTAAATTGGCTATAAGCCTTAGGAGTTGAAGATTGTATCAAAGTTATATTTGTTTTTTTATGGAATTTTATTCCAAAGCTTATATCATGTACATATCAAAAGACCATCTTTGAGTCCACCAGGAAGAGTGCATACTACCCCCACCCAAAAAAAGAGAGTATGTGTGTGTGTGTGGGGGGGGTTTCGATTGGGGACCCCAGAGCAGTGTTTTATGACCCTCACTATCTTATCAACATTTTTTTTTCTACCTACATTTATATACTTTATAAATGAAACTAGGACTATTGACTATAAAAGGATGAAAAATGTTTGTAGATTTTGATATCATTTTGGGTTCTTTTATTGTTCAAATCCATGAATTTGTTTTGCTCATACTAAGTCTTGAAAAAAAAAACATTATATAAAATTCACTATTTTTTATCCATAATGTTAAAACTATTCAAATTATTCAACTTTTTGACAACAAAAGTCTCGAGTTGATGTTAAAAATTACCACAAAATATTGTTGATTCATTTTAAGATGGAATGATCTATTATGGCATATCTCTAATTTGTATTTAGATATATTGTATTTATTTTCAATTTTTCTAGTTGAATTGTTCACCTATATTTCATATGATCCATTAATGTACATAATTAAGTTATAATAAAATTAGTATTTTATATGAATATGATCTTATGAAAATTGAGATGTAATAGAGTGGTGGTAGTCTGGTATCATAGATTTGGTGTGTGTGTGGGGGGGGCACAAAACCCTTGCACTGGCCCTGGTCTCTGCTCTATTATCATCATTATATTTCAATTTCTGCTATGGTTACACTACCTACCAAGTCTGTGGGAAGATCTAAGGCAGGTAATGGTATGTTGTTATGACTACATTTCATTATTTGTTTTTCCAACTACCATGACATCACTAGAATTACATGGACAAAGTTCTTCTTAGTGTGGGGGCTGTACTTATCAAGACAATTTTTTTAAGCTGGGACTTCCAGTTGACAACAGTTGTGTTGCTTTTTTTTATTATTCCACATGCACTTACTATGACTGTTACTATTCTTGTTTACAATTTCCACATTTTTTCTATTTTGATTTCCAGGTCTTTATACTTCAGTAGTTTTTCAAATTCCTTGGTTGCTATGTTAGAGTCTGATGAGCAAGCCATATCAATTAGTAGGCAAGTTTTTTCTTTTCAGTTTTTGACAATTATGCCTGGCCTGTTTGTTTCAATCTTCCTGTCTGTAAAGATGGTGAAATCATATAGAATTGTGATGTCTTTCTGTAACTGGTGCTGGGTGATGTTCATACCAGTGTTTGTTAACATCTTTTTCAAAGTGTTTGAACATTGTCCAGTGTAAGTATTGACCCACTCTATTGGGACAATTTTTATATTCATTTGGCACAAGTACAGAACATCCTGAGATTAGATGGTCTATGGATTTCCTGATATTTGTCACAAAACTTGCATTTTGGATCCACACTATTATGTATGATATTTGCCTGAAAGTTTCTAGTGAAAAGACTCTGCTCTTGCATTGCAAGAATAAAGCCTTCTATTTCAGCCTTTAATCCAGATGCTTCTAACCAATGATGAGTATTAACTTTATCAACACTGGCTGTATTAGCCTCGTTCTGGTTATTGGCCATACAAAGGTTTGTCATGCCAACATTGCTGCATCTGTTCAAGAACTTTATCCTTGGCTTTCTTTTTCATATTTTTTGTTACAATAGTTGGTACTTGGGTTCTGTTTTGGTTTTCTGCGGAATCTACTAAATGCAAATTATTTTTATTATTAGTTCTTGATTTATTGTCTCATTAAAGTCTTTTCCCTGAGACATGAGGTAAAGGAAGGTTTTTCTTAGAAAGTTATTGAACATAGTACATTGAGAGAATTTTCTGAGGGAGAGGATAGGTGGATCATACCTTTTCCAGGAGTATTTGTGTGTAAGTGAATATAACAAACTCAACAGGAATTGGAACTCAGCTCTGCGATTAATAATTCCGAGCCAGTATCCAGTACACCACCTGCATATCCAAGTTTTATAAAACCTGGTATTCCCAAGTGGTCACCCATCTGACCAAACTCAATGTTGCTTAACTTCAGTGATTGTACAGGAACTGGTGTTTTAACATGATGTGGCAGTAAGTCATATGTAAACAATCTTTTGTATCTCAGATGAAGAGTGGTTTCCTGGGATATTTTTAATATATGTATCACTATTCTTTTTTATCCTATTCTAGTACTCCTATTATTACTGGAATAATGGTTGAGTATAAATGCTACATTCTTGCAATTTCTTTTTCCAGGTCCTTATATTTTGGAAGTTTATCAGATTCTTTTGCCAAGATGTTTTTATCAAATTGGATGATGATATCTATGAGATAAAACTTATATTTTTTTGAAGTCTTTTATTATTATATCTGACCTATTTATTCTCATGGGGTACTTCAACATGGTTTAATGGTTAGCAAGCTTGTCTGGCTAGATCAATTACAACTGAGTAGTGGGTTTGATCCTCACCTGGTGCTCCATACATTCGGCCTTGTGCCACATCTAAGCTACTCTTAGAAAATCATTAAACCTAGTGGCAGCACCTTCCTCATTTCATTAAAGAGGTTGAGTTGGTGTAATAGTAATGTCAGCATGTCAGTGGTTGCTAATAGCATTTTTTTTTAATTTTGAGAGCAAGCAACAATCTATAGTGACAAGTGAAAAATAATTTAGAAACCAAAATTAATTATTTTAATTGAAACTAATGCAAACTTTTTTAATTAATATTTGCTATATCTATTCAAACAAAATGTACTGTGGAAGGTTTAGCATGTTTACTCTTCCTATAACTTCTTTCAGTATTTGCTACTTACCTGGCACAAGAGTTAACCATTAGCCAATGAGGGTTTACTGAGGCATCATTAACACTCCCTGTGCTGTATGTGTGGCTATGATTCTCCTCATTTTAGATGGGAGAAGTTACTCAGCCTCAGGTTTTCCAACCCTGTGGCAGCATCTTCCTCATTGTACTAGAGAGGTTGGGTCAATGTAATACTAATGCCAGCATGACAGTAGTTGTGGGGGCTGGGCAAAAAATGATTTTTCTCCTTGGCCTGTATGCATATGGCACTCCCTATATTAAAACAACTTTGTGTCACATCCAGTTTTGGTGGGGAGGCCAGCTAAATATACGTGATCAATTGGCTTGTATAGTGTGGTTTGTATGTATAGTAAAGTTTCACAGCACTGTAAACTTGTTCACCTTCTAGCACTGTCAGGGTTTTGTATTCATAAGTTTTCTGCCTGGAGAAGATTATAATGATGGCATATCTTCCAATACATGGATTTTTCTACCCTCCTGTGTTTATATTTAAATTTATTTGGGGATAGAGTAGCACATTCAGATGTTAGATAGTCAATAGTTTGTACAAACGCAATATTCCGGATCTGTTCTATTCATTAAAACCAGGTGAACCCGTGTAAATTACATGGATTTAGTAATAAATTTTTTAATGTTGCACTCTGTACTTTTAACTCATGACCTTTCTCAGAGAGTTATAAAAAAAATGACACAGTCTCTAAATATGGCCTGATGTACAACTTCATTATTAATCTGAAATTATTTTCCATAAAATGTAATAGAAAAAATATAAATTTTCATGAACTACTGCCAAGGGCAAAAAGGCCCAGGGTTACATGAATTTTTGCATCACTTAATATAACACTAGAGAACATGGGTTACCCTCAGGTTGAAAATGGATTAGGACGTGTGTCACATGTAAATATACCTAATGGGAATTAGAACTCAGCTCTTGGTTAACAATTCTGAGTTCCATTACACCATCTGCACGTCCAGTCTTACAGCACCTGGTATTCCTAAGCAGTCACCCATCTAGTTACTGACCAGGCTCTATGTTGCTTAACTTTGGTGATCATAAAGAAACCAGTGTTTCAATGTGATGTGTTTGTAAGCCCAGGAGTTGAGAGAATGGCAGCAGCACAGAGTAAATGTGTTCCTGTTAGATTTGAGAAAGGAAAATCTACAGATACACATTGACAAGTCATTGTGGCCCTTTCAAACCATGCTGATCAAAAGGGTGGTGTGTAAAAAGGATGGTTTTTCTTTTGATACTACTATTAGTGTACAAAATTATAGACATTCTCCCCACATAGAAGGTAATATTATTCTGCAGAGATGAATAAAAACTTGAAGAGTTGAGTTACTAAAAGGAAATAACTGAAACTGAGATATCTAGAAAGGGCATGGCACGTGGAACTAGAACAATCTACCTCCGTAGACTAAATAAAGGGTTCAGTTAGAAATTTCAACATATATCACCTGAAGAAGGCTGAAGCGTACAATAAAAATGAGGATAACAGTTCAAACAATGTAAATTATCTATTTATAAATGATGATAGAAATATGAAATGCAGTCAAGTTGTCACACGAATAAATCTATTCTAATGTTGTGCCATAATATATACATATGTACACATGCTAAGATCACATAAGAACATAAGCAAAAGAATTGAATTTTTAATAGGTTTGTAAATATTTAGAGAGAAACAATGGTAGAAGTAGCTACAACAATAGTGAAATCTGCTAGTCAGATACAGAGATAATCCCAGGTCCTGCTTCCTGAGAAACTCTGCAAACACAGAATTAAGTAAGCTTGAATGTTCTTCTAGTACATCTATAGGGCCAAGTAATTGGTATTTGTTTTATGTGATATTTGTATTGTATGTAACACCATATCTTGTGTGTTTAATGTCATCTTTATTGATTTATTTATTGTTAACCTTCCATTTCCTTGTATTTGTAATACTAACCTTATTGAATGCACAATAAGAAAAGACAAATTATACATTCAGGCTATATCTAAAGTTCCCAATGTGGGGTGCGTGCACCACAAGAGGGTAATTTAATTTTTAAAGAGGGCAAATCAAGAATGAGTTATTAACAGTGAATTTTTTTCTAGTGAGTCTGTGTGCAAGTTAATACATACAGTGCATATACAATATGCATACATAAAACTATTTTCGTGTGTATCTATGTACATGTGTAATTACATATGTACTGTATATAATATATATACCAGGTGTAGCAGCAAAATTGTCCATCCCACAAAATGTTTAATATCTAAAAAAATCTTTAAACTAGTTTCTTTATACCAGGTTTTCAGATAAGATATTTAGCCATTTTGACACTATGTATTGTAAGAATCACTGAAAAACCTTTTGAGTTATTCAGCTAGAAATAGAACAGGTTAAAATTGTTTTTTGTCACCCCCACTGTCTTTCCAACTTAGTGATGGTGAGAGAAAGGCCTTCAGTAATGGTACCAACATTCATACTCTGGCTTCCATCTTCAAAGTCCATTCAAGAACCATCAAGGGAATGGTGAATAAGTTTTAAAAAAAGAGGGAACAGTAGAGAGGAAAACTGGATCAGCTAGTCACAACAGCAAGAGGGATTATCATTTCAACTTAGAGCTAAAAGATCAATTAGAAAAGATCCAACCCAATCCATAAGATGTTTGACACGTAAGAAAGGAGTTTCAGCTATGAAAGTCCAAAGAGCAGTGAAAAAAAGACTTGAAAATGAAATTGTACATGAAACCTGTGAGGCACCTTGTTACTCCAGGACAGAAAATTAGAAGGTTAGAAAGGGTGAAGATCATCTTGAATAAGTTGGAAAATGATCCTGAAAAAATATATATATATATATATATATATATATATATATATATGAACTTAATTTCAATCCTTTATGAGCTTCTGATCCTTAGATATGATTTATTAATGAGGAACATGTCATTTTTGTTTATGATCAATTTCCTCTGTTAAGCTTGGAGAGTAATTATACATTCTTATTGCTCAATGTAGATTCCAATAGTGTTATAAAAACCTTGGAAAATTCCAGTAAGATATCTTTAGTCATTTCTAAGCTACAACATTTCAAAGCTTAATCTAACAAATAGACAATTTTGCATTTACACAATTTGGACAATTTTGCTGTTACACCTAGTATATTAGTAACACAATATTTTTATAAATATTGTAAAATTAAATGATAACACTATTGCATATATGCAGTTTCAAGTTCTTCAGGAAAGTTAAGCTAATGTTTAGGCTTCATCCACATGAATAGGAATTTACTTTTTGAATATTAAGAATTATATATCATGGGGTTGTGGGGGGCATCAGGATTTTAGAGATTCTTAGGTGCGGCATGGTCAAAAAAGTTTGGGAACCACTGGGTTACATTTATATGCTTTAAAAGTGGTTTTATGTTGGCAATAAAAATTCATTGTAAATTAATTCTCCAAGATGGCATTTATAGAGTTACTTAACTTAGTGTGTAACAAATTCATGAAGATAAAAAAAAGATTTATGTTTTAAATTCATTGTTTTGTGTTATTTATTTTTACCTGGGCTCATATGAGTCTGTCAATATTGTTTGCGAGACAAATGTTCCAGGAGCTCATATCTGTCTATATTTCTGAGATGAGGTATTATGTACACTATTTACATTGTTTGAACTATCATTCTCATCTTTGTTGCCATATTTATCATAACGTTTCGGCCATTGTACACACTGGCCTTCTTCAGGTGGTTGGAATGTCAAACTGAACTTTTTATTTCACTCACTGGGGTAGACTGTTCTAGTTCCATGTGCCATGTCTAATGGATGTCAGTTATCAGACATTGGAGAGGGGAATTAACAGGAGATAATTGATAACTTAACTGATAAGAAAAGAGTGCTGGATCACTATGCAATAACCATCCTCTTATATGACAGTAAATGTTGGACAATCTCCCCACAGATGAGGAGAAAACTGGAGGCAGCAGAAATGTGGTTCTCTCAAAAAATACTGAAAATTCCATGGACAGAACAAGTAAGCAACAAGCAAGTCTTAAAGAAAATATCAACAGAAAGAACACTTTTACTTAGAATCAGGAAAAGATAGCTGAAATTCCTTGGACATAATGCACAAGGAGAGCTTGGAAAACTTAATAGGAGCATATTGAGGACAAGTGAGATATTGGAAAGCAGTGAGCCACTTATTTGATAAGATTGAATGGATAGTTGAACAGTGGGGTGGGAGCCTCAGGAAAGAGAGAAAAACTACTGAGGGCCACAAGGGATAGGAAATTGATTATCACCTATGACCTGAAGGAATGCAACGTAATGAAGTGTACTTGTTTGTCCTTAATTCCTTTTTATTTTCAAATTTGTTTTATTTTTAAGGATAATATTTCTGTATTTTTTTTAACAAATCTTCCATAATCAAAAAAACACTTTCCAGATATCCATGACTTCTTGGGATTTTTCTCTTGACCATACTTTATGTCTTCTTGCAATTGATAGTGCTTTTTTCTCTCTTTCTTCTACCACCATCTCTAGGAGGTCATGTATTTTTTTGTTCTGAGTTTGCCATCAACACTGTCATCTGTGTATCTTATATTGTTAAGATTACACCTGCTAATGATAAATCCTGGTAGGGACTCCAGCTCCTTTAGGATATTGTTGCTGTAGATGTTGAATAAATCTGGGGAGAAAACACATCCTTGTCTCATGCCCCTTTCTATTTTTGTATAACTACTGAGACTGAATTTTCCTAGTATAATTGATATCTGGGCTTGTCTTTTGGGTAAAATTCCTCACCAGCACCAGTGAGTATTGTTCTAATCCATATGAAAGCTAGGATTTTGAATGCTGATTTTCAAAAGAACACTTTTTTCACTTGGATTTTTAAAGTAAGATAATATTTCTACCTCCATTTCTCTTATTTAGCCTAATGCTAGGCTAAGTTAAGTAAATCTATGTAATAAATGTGAATTTCAGTGTGTCACTGTGTCACACTTTTCAAATTAAAGGGACACAACTCTCTAACTTTCAATAGCTCATGTTACAGAAATATTGGATTCCCAAGTTTTCATTACTGTGATTGTTTTTGGTGATTTTTTTAAGTGATTTTTGTGACAATTTTTTTTTGTACAATAACAATTTTTCTAACTTGGAAATAAATTTGAGAATAATCAAAATTAATTGTGAAATCCAGCAAAAGTCACTCATGAAATAAAAATAATTGTTTGTATGGAAATAAGGACCTACATACATCAAATTGTCTTGAAATTAATTGGTGGCAGAAGAATTATCATTGAACTTTTAAAAGGTAAGCTTAGATATTATTGCAACACTTAAATGCATTGATCAATTTTGTGTTCTTCCATAGTTTATTGTTGCCTATCACATATGGCAGCAGTATACCTCGCAAAAAGAAATCTCCACCAACAGAGGGCCAGATTGCAATCAAAGTAGACAAGGCTGCTGCAAGGAAAAAAAAGTCCTGTGCAAATGAAAACCTAGATCAAACAGCAGCCAGGAAAGCTTCCAATACTGAGAATATTCAAGAGACTCTCAAACTCCTGAACAAGCCGAAGACCCAATCAAGAGCCCTCTGCAAGAGCTAGCTTAAATGCCGTCTTTTAAGCTAGTATCAATAAAAATAAATGCCTACATGTTTCATTTGCTATTTTTAAATTGGTATCACCCCATGCAAGGCAGTAAAGCCACTAAAACACAAGGGGTCACAGGGTGTAGAAGAATTAGGAACAGAAACATTAATGAGTAGAAAGAGAAAAGAGTAATCAGGAGGACAGTACATAGTGATTGGCATTACATTTATTTTTTAGCAGATTAAATTTGGCTGGAAAGATGGGGCTGGAAGGGAGTTCCACAAGTGAGAAGTGTGAGAAAAGAAACTCTTAGCATAGAACTTACGGCTACATCTAGTTAGTTCAACCTGATGCCAGTCTAGTATTTTGCTTAAATTCATTAAATCTAGGTACCATAGCAAAGATCTCATCTGAACAATTACCATGAAGGTATTTATAGAAAAGGTAAAGAGAGGCGACCTTATGGCAGTAGGTAAGTGACTGAAGTCGAGCTG